CATTCTTTAAGGCTTGCAAAGCTACAACTACCCTGTGGAGCAAAAATTATTTTGTGTGAGCATTACTGATCCCATTTTACAGACATGAGTAAACTGAGGCTCTTAAACAGCACCCATCCCTCCATAACTATGACTCATACACACAGTGTAACTTAACACTCACACACACCTAACCCCAGTGTATCTCATTGCAGCTAAGTAGCTATCAAAAACCTTTAAGTTAAAGAAAAGTCCATCTGCATGAGGGATTATTGTTTTCCCACCGGGAATTTCTTATATCAATGGATGAAATTAGGGGTTCAGAATTTAAATTGCAATTTTTTTAAAAAAGACATTCCCGATCAAGAATCTCCCAGGATAGGGACATTCATGGGTCATAATCTTACAGAAGTAGAATGAGTCATAAGGCGAGATCAAAGATCAATGGGAAGTATTTAAGAAAGCTTGTTTGATTGATACATCTTAATATCTTCGGGGTTGACAGATGTCTTAGGAAGAGGCTCCAGTATTGGAAGGATTGGCATGTGATTATACAGGAAAGCCAGTCACAACTCTTGAGTGCCTGGGAGTCCCTTACATGCAGCAGTATTCTCTTAAGGAAGATAGGACATTCATCACAACACAGAATCAAACTGAGATTGCCTGAATCTGAGGCTAATATATTTTAATACAACATTAAAATCTACTACAAGTGATGAATAACCACTTTTCAAATAGACCATAAAAGTGATTGCTGATTCAGGGTGTGGTTCAGACTCGATGGAGTCTCTCCTAGCACTGACATTTTCTGATCTGTGGTGCCAGGGAGTTTCCAAGACAAGACAAATTTCCAAAAGTTGCTTCTTTTATGACCTTAGTATCTGGGTCTGTTGGGTCTAGTGAGAGAGCCTGGGTTAGGGAATAGTGGGAACAGATAAAACAGAACACCTGAGACACTGTGCAAGCTGGGTACATCCTTGGGATGATCTCTCTATGCCTAGCTTGGCCTAACTAGGGGCATTAATTGTCAGACTAATATTATCAGACAGAGATGTACTAGGGTGAGGGGGAGATACTGCTAGAGGATATTGCCTTTTCATGGTCTCGTCTCTCCTGAGAACAGGCCCTTCACTGGATTATACATTTGGAAGAGAAGGGACCTAATGAGGGAATTGGACATTTTCTATAATATTCTTCCCTTATTCCCGTATAATCTGTATGAAAATATGTGTGAAACCTGTGTGAAAATAATCCCACCTTCTATGCAAAGGAGAACAGACTCACCACTGGAAGGGACCAGAGTGCAGGGCTTCTTAACTATTTTTGTGTCATGAACCCCTTTGGCAGTCTGGTACAGCCAGTGGACTATTTCTCAGAAGAATGTTTGTTGTCTACATTCATAATTGAAAATTCAGTTAGAGATTAGTGAAAATGAAAGTGCAATTTTTTTTTCCAATCTAAGTTTATTATTTAGCCTAGCCTCTTCATTTCCCAGGTAAGGAAACTAAAGCTATCACAGGAAGTTAGTAGCAAAAGATCCCAATTTTCCCACTACAATAGGTTGAGTGGGAATGCAGTACCCCAATATCAGACCCCTGTTGAAAGCATGTGTTTAAGGCACATACTCCCTCGATTCTGGGCCCCACCCTTCTGGACTAGCCTACCTCCTGCATAGGCCCACACCCTTGGTGGTTACACACTATTCATGCATGAAGGCATAAGAAGACACACCCCAAAGTCTTGATTCCATACCAACCCAGGGACACCTACAAACTCCCCAGATTACACAGTGCCGCAAGCTAGCTTACTGGATGTGACTGTCCAAACTCTTTTCTTTCTCTCTCTCTCTCTCTCTCTCTCTCTCTCTTTCTCTCTCTCTCTCTCCCTCTTCCTCTCTCTCTCTCTCTCCCTCTCCCTCCCTCTCCCTCTTCCTCTCTCCCTCCCTCTCCCTCCCCCTTTCCATCCTGCAGCTCAAGAAGGCTGTGAAACCAGAGCCCACTGTTCCTGCCCACTGGGCACAGCATAGAGAGGGCAGCCCCTGGGCAGCTTCAGCAGCACCAGAGGCAGGATTTCCTGGACACAGCCCCCAAGTAGCAGCTGACTCCCAAGTTCCGCTTGAGTAAAGGACAGCTACAGCTGGGTGCGGGGAGGACATCATATTGAAGAGCAGGCCTCCAGGCCATGGGCTACCCCGAAACCCAATCTGCCCATTTAAGGAAGGTGTAGAATGAGCCATCCCTATATGCTAAGGAAGTGCCAGTGAAATTGAAGGAGTACAGATGTGCAGTCTTGAGAGGAAGCAGCTCGCTGCTCTGTCTCAGGGTTTGACTTCCATGCACTCAAATAGCTAATGGGTATACAATAATAATGCTGATAGGGATGGCTCACATTTGTATCTTGCTTTAAATGGCTTTTCTCATTTGATCCTCACCACAGCCATGTGAAGGAGTTAATATAAATAGCAGTATACCCTACTTACAGATGAGGAAGCAGACTCAGTAGGAAAAAGGTTACTTGCCCAAGGTTACACAGCTTAGAAAGGAGCAGAGTCAGCACTCCAAGCCAGGGCCTAGGGCTCTTTCCACTGTCCACACCTGCCTCTAACAAAAGAGGCTCTCTGCTGGATGTAGCATTTTGATAGTACTGCTCAAATGCTTTTTTTTTTAAATAGTATTTTATTTTTTCCTCAATTACATATCAAGAAGATTTTTAGCATTCATTTTTACAAGATTTTGAGTTCCAAATTTTTCTCCCTCTCCACCCTTCCCTCCTCTCTTCTGAAAATTGTAGGCAGTTTGATATAATTTATATGTGCTATTATAATGTAAAACGTTTCCATATTAGTCACAGTTATGAAAGAAACATCAAAAGGGGGGGAAAAGCCCACAAGAAAGAAAAAAGTGAAAAAGATATGCTTCAGTCTGCATTCAGAGTCCATCAGTTCTTTATTTGGATGTGGGTAGCATTTTCCTTCATGAGTCCTTTGTACTTGTCTTAGATCACTATGTTGCTGAGAAGAGCTGAGTCATTCATGGTTGATCATCACACAGTGTTGCTGATACTGTGTACAGTGTTTTCCTTGTTCTGTTCATTTCACTTTGCATCAGTTTGTACACGTCTTTCCAGATTTTTCTGAAATCTGCCTGTTCATCATTTCTTATTGCACAATGGTATTCCATTAAATCATATACCATAGCTTGTTCAGCTGTTTCCCAATTGATGGGCATCCCCTCAATTTCCAATGTTTTACCACCATGAATAGAGCTGCTCTAAATATTTTTGCATGTGTAGGTCTTTTCCTTTTTTATGATCCCTTTAAGATACAGGCCTAGTAGTGGTATTGCTGGGTCAAAGGGTATGCACAGTTTTATTGCCCTTTGGCCATAGTTCCAAATTGCTCTCCAGAATGGTTAGATCAATTCACAACTCCACGAACAGTGCATTAGTGTCCCAATTTTCCCACATGCTCTCCAGCATTTATTATTTTCATTTTTTGTCATATTTGCTAATCTGATAGATGTGAGGTGGTACCTCAGAGTTGTTTTCATTTGCATTTGTCTAATCAAAAGTGATTTAGAGCGCATCTTCATATGTCTATAGATAGCTTTGATTTCTTCATCTGAAAATTGCCTGTTCATAGCCTTTTTTGATTATATGCTCTTAAAACCTCTTTCAGTACGTTGTCTCCCCCTTCTGTCATGGGCCTCTGCCTCTCCTGGATTGTGTACTCTGTGAGGGTGAGGTAACTTTTAGTCACTTCTGTCTTTGTCACAGGTCCTAGCACAGGGCTCTTCTTACGCACAGTAGGTGATCATGGATTATTTGCTGAATGATTGTCCTCAGCTGGCCCTGATAACCACCCACTCCTCTAAGCATATTTCCTCCAGCTTGTGTAAGGAACCCCAGTAAAGCTGGAGGGTTAAGAGTGAACAGCCCAAGGGTCAGAGCCTAAACTTTCCCTGCTGGACAGTGCTTCCTCAAGGCTTTCCCTCTGAAGCTGTGGTATGGTCACTGAACTATTTAAGGAGCTTGACTTTCTTGAGCTGCTGCCTGATTCAGTCTCTGACAGTATGTAATAATAACTCACACTTCCCTAGTGTTTTAAAGTTTCTGAAATTCTTTGCTCATAACAGCTTTGTGAACATGCTGTCCCCACTTAACAAATAAGCAAACAGAGGCTCAGAAAGCTTAGGTGACTCACCCAGGGTTACCTGGTGACTCAAACTAAGGACTTCTGACTCTTACAATTATCGGTGCTCTTTCCAAAAAAGTTTCTCAGGGAGTGTGGTAGTACTGTGTACTCCCATCTCCCCAAGTGGTACTTAACTCTAGTGATAGGAGAAGTACTGAGCAAAATGGGGGGAACAGTCCAAGGGTCATAGCATGGACTTCCTACTGGACAGATGCTTCATCAGGACTTCTTGCTAATTGATTATGTCCCCACTTCACCCGGGGAAGCCATTGTTGTCATTGTCATCGTCTCCTTCTCCTCTATTAGCAGGAAGAGCCACCCCCTATCCTTATAGTCTCCTGAAGTCCTTTCCCCACTTAGGGGAGAAGGACTGCAGAGGAGGGAAGAGAATAGCCATCCTGTGTGAACAAGGACTTCTAGGAGTCACGGGATTATAGATTTTGAGCTGGAAGGGACCACAGAGATAATCTCGGGCTCCTCGTTTTGCAGGTGAGGAAACTGAGGCCCAGGAAGGTGACACAATTTGCCCAGGGTCACACAGATAGTAAGTGGCAGAGCCAAGATTCAAACCCAGTTTCTCTGACTCCAGATCCAGTATACTTTCGCCTCTGTAACCGATTCCCTGTGGGGAGGGAACTGCGTAGAATGTATAGATACTTCCCTGATCCCTGTGTGGAAAAAGGTTAAGGGGGACAGCAGAATGTTTGAGGGAGGGACTTCAGGAATAGAACTTGGATTTGGAGATTAAGGAAATAGCCCTAGAGTTCCAAACAGGAATCCTTCCCTCCACTTCTCTTCTTACCAGAGTACTCCCCCTTTTTTTTCTCAGTTGCAGGGGCCCTCATCGCTGACTTCCTATCGGGGCTGGTGCATTGGGGGGCCGACACCTGGGGCTCTGTGGAACTACCTGTGGTGGGAAAGGTTTGTACTCAAGCCTGACTACTAGCTCTTAGGCATGTCTTCTGGGTGCCACTATCTTCAGCTAATTTTTTATGAGCTCTTTAAGGGCTTGGGACTATGTCTCCTCTATGGCTGTCCTCCTATAATACCTCGCCCAGGGCCATGCTGATTTACTAGCAGAATGGATATTGGGGGATAGTCCCTGTTTAGAGAGAGGGCAAATGTGCAGAGGCCTTCAGGGCTTTCCAGTTGACCAGGCTTCAGGCAGTAGCCTGTGGCTACAGGAGATTGAAATCTGGATATAGCTCTTTTAGTTTCTTTTCTCTCCTACAGGGCACTGGCTATAAGCCACAGGTATTTATTGAACCCTACTTTTTGCCTAGCCTTGTGGGAGATATCAAGAAGTACGAGCCATGGTTCCTAAACTACATAGGACCCATTAGAGAAAAACACCAGCCATCATAGATTCAAATGACAAATGATGTTTGGTAGGTTAGGCATTCAGAGGCAGGAGAAAATGTTGAGTTAGAATAATCAGGCAGGTGTTTGTGTGGAGGTTAACCTTGAATACTGGGCAAAATTTGAGTAATGGGAGGACACTCTAAGTAAAACATGATTAGAGGTGCAGATGGCCTGTGAATGATGGCTCTGGTGTTGTTGGGGGGAGGGTGGGGTGGTGAGGAATCCTATCTGTTAGATTAACTGAAAATTGGCAATTAGGGGTAACAGACAAGGTTGGTTGGCAATGTTGCTGGGCCTGGGGGGAGCTGCAACCTGGTGCTGATGGTAGGTCCTTAGAAGATGTCTTATCCCTTCTCTCAGGCTTTCATCCGGCCCTTCCGGGAGCATCACATTGACCCCACAGCCATCACTCGGCACGACTTTGTTGAGACCAATGGGGACAACTGCCTAGTGACGCTGCTGCCTCTAGTGAACATGGCCTATAAGTTCAACACCCTAAGCCCTGGTGAGGGGGTTGGGGGTTGGGGGTAAGGTGGGGAAGGGCACAGATTTAAAATAAGCATCAGGGTAAGGTGGAAAACACTTTACTGGGAATCAGAGAGGGAATCACAGAAAAGTAGTCCTTGAAAGCTGGGCAACATCATTAAAGTTCTGGTACCTAGAGCAAATTGTCGAGGTAAGGTTAGCACAGTATGGAGAGGAGGCAGAAACCCAAGGTTATCCCAAGGCTGCTTATGTCCTCATTGTTACTAATCCCAGGCATCCTTCTTGGTTTTGTCCCCAGGCAGCACATGAGCATTATGCCCCAGCAGTGTCCATCCCCATGATAGGACATTGAGACTTGTGAGGTAGAGTGACCCTTGCTCAGGGAATAGAGAAGAGATCATGCTTCCTCCTTGCTGTCCTCTGCAGATGCCCCCATGTTGGTGATCTGGGACAAAGCCCTAGTCACCCAGTGTTAGTTATGGTTCCCCTGGGTAAGGTGTGAATAATGGGAAGAAGACCAGAGGGCATCCTAGGTATAGAGGACATGCTAGGGAGCACTGAGATGGCAGTGAAGGTGGTGCTGGAGGGAAAATGGAGTCCCCAGTCTTGGGATTGAAAGCCTGCCCCTACAGTTCTCTGTCTGTGAGACAAAGTCAACATGGCGGTAGGAAAAGAGCACTGGACTTGAAGTTGGGAAAGACCAAGGCTCAGATCCCATCTCTGACATCTTCTGGCTTTGTGGCCATGGGCACATTGGCATTCTGAGCCTCAGTCTTCACATCTGCTGAAGTGAGGATTATACTTTGAGAACTTGCCTCCAAGAGTTCACATGAGATCAAATGAGGCCATATATAGTGCAGGGGTGTGGGTGATTATCATCATCTCTTCCCACCTGTCACACACACAGAATGTAAACTCCTTTAGAGGAAAGACTGTCTTTTTATCTGTAGCAGGCAGCACAGTGCCTTATACATGCAAGTACTTAATACATGTTTTCTGGATTGGATTTCAGTAGTGTTAGTCAAGTCCTTTGGCCCTTTCTGGGCTTTAGTCTCCTCCTCTATAAAATGAAGGGGTTGGACTAGGGGTGGGGAACCTGGGGCCCTCAGGTTCCTCCACCCCCGGACTAGACAATCTCTTAAGATTCCATACAGCTCTGAATTCTGTGATACCCTCTAAGTTAAAATGAGCACAGCCAGCTTCCTATCTACTTCCTGCCTTGGGGTGCGGGAGGGAAGGAAATATGAAATGAGGAGCATCAAGAGGGCTTGAAGTTAGCTCTAAGGAAAAACTTCCAACCTTGGGAAGCTTTCTTCCACAGATAGCCAAGGAATCAATGACGTTGGATCTCCTCTTCCTTTCAAACCTGGCTTCATTTAAGTGAAATTTTAACCTTGAATAAAGGGTGATGGTGTAACAAGACCCCTCAGAGCTAGGTTCCTAAAACGCTTTTGGCCACCATCAGCATGGCAGCAGAAGAAGTAAGGTCATAGGTCTTAGAGCTGGTAATGACCTTTAGAGATCATATAATCCAATCCTCTCCCTTTACATAGGACAAAACAGGCATAGAGAGGTTAAGTTGTGCCCAAGGTTACACAGGCAGTAATGTAAAGAACTAAGATTGGAACCTTGGATTGGAGCATTGTCTCATTGTAAACCCTGTGACTAGCATGGTATCTGTGTCTCTCTCCCCTCCCACAGATGAACTTTATCAGCTCTATCCCTGGGAGTGTTTTGTCTTCTTCCTCGTCATCTTTGGGACCTTCACCAACCAAATTCACAAATGGTCTCACACCTATGTTGGGCTTCCCCGATGGGTCACTTTCCTCCAGGACTGGCACATCATCCTACCCAGAAAGCACCACCGAATCCACCATGTGTCCCCCCATGAGACCTACTTCTGTATCACCACAGGTAAGTTGTTGGGTTAGATAGTGGAACATTAGACAGAGCCCCTGCCCTTAGGGGGCTCCTAGGTTAGTGAGGGAGAGAGGACAGAAACAGGTGAAAAGATCATTGACAAGATCAGACGATCTGTGTTATTAGATAAGAAATGTTTGGTTATGGCTGTAGGAACCAAAAGAAAGAAGAGAAGATTGGAGTTGGAAGACAGGGAGAGGTCAGGTAAGGCTTCCCAGAAGAGGGGAGACTCCATCTGGCCTTGAAGTATAGTCAAGATTTGGATAGGTAGGGAATGAAGGTGCTACAGGTAGTAGGAACAATGTAATCCAAGCTTCTGAGGTGGGACAACTTGAGATACAGAGACAGTGAGGAGACCAGCATGGCCAGAGGGGAATTTCTGTACTAGCTTACTAGAGATAAGAGCCAGATCAATCCCCTGGTCATTAGAACATAAGAACTGAAAAGATCCTTAAGACTATAGTCCACATCCATTTCTGCTTTTATTATTCCTCTTTGTAAAATGAGAGGTTGCATCAGGATGACTTTTAGTCTCTTTTACCTGTGTCCTTTGATTTGATGATACTTCCATTCAGTCCACCATGCTTAATTGTGGAAAGCATTGAGTGCCAGGCTAAGGTGTTTGAACTTCAGAAGTTTTTGGCATTGCCTTTAGCAGAGACCACTAATTTCTTTCATGTGAAATGATCTGGAAAGGAAACCTCCTTCTCAGGGGTAGGCCTTTGCATGAGCCAGTATCCTTTCCCAGTTTTCAGGTGGTTGCCAGAGCCCCTCCTGGTCAATGAATTTGAGTATGCCCTGCCCCCTTCTACAAAAGAGCAGATTGGATTTTCATTTAGAGCCTGATATTCTTCCAGAGTAGCTCAAGAAAATAATCCAGGCTTTCCTATTTCTTCTCTTCTCTGACATCATTCAGGCTGGCTCAATTACCCATTGGAGAAGATTGGATTCTGGAGACGGTTAGAGGATATTATCCAAGGACTAACTGGAGAAAAGCCCAGAGCAGATGATATGAAATGGGCCCAGAAGATAAAGTAGTCCCCAACAGCTTTCCTATGAGCTCTAACCTTGTTGCCACCCTTTCCAAACAGCGTCTCTCTCTTTCTCTTACACACACACACACACACACACACACAGACACACACACACACACACACAGACACACACACACACACACACACACACACACACACACACACCCCTCCCTCCCCATCCGCCAAGTGCCAGACTTGAAGTGAAAATACTTGGAGACCTGCTCAGTAGATGGGCAGCACCGATGGCTTCTCTCTCCTTTGAAGCAAAGATGCTACTTGACATGTAACAGATTAACATGGGGGAAGGGAGGGTGGGGCAGGGCCCATGTACCTGCTGGCCAGCATCCCTGGGGCTGCCTGTCATCTCTAAGAGTAAGGTGTCCCCCTCCTCACAGAAGCATCCCATGGAAACACAAGGGAGCTTATGGAGAAGGAAAAAACCTGCTCAATGAGGAGTTGGTTGGCATTGTCACCACGTTTCTGCACTGCCTAGGAGAGCCTGGGGCAAAATGGAGACTGGAGGAAGAGCAGAAGGTGGAGGGTTATCCTGACTTAGACTCTGGTCCATTAGGGTTTTTAGTTTTTATTTTGAATGCAGTCCCCCAAGGCTGCTCTGCATGAAAACAGCCCACAGAGCCCAAAGAGCCCACACAACAGTCAGATCTTCTTGCACTCAGTGATCATTCACCATAGTGTTTCCTTTATGCCCTTGGGACTGGGGTTACCTGAAGGCCTAACTGACCTCCTATTGGGCTTAAAAAGCAAGGGAAGAAGCTTCCCTGGGCTAGTCTGGTCTCCCCCTCTACCAAGACTGAGGGAGATCCATATGTGACCTGTGCTGGCCCCCTGACTCCCAGCTCAGTTCAGGAACCCCGCCTACCTACCCATCTCCCAGGAACAGACTTGAGCCGGACATTTCCCTTTTCATCGAAAGGCGATAATTCAGTTGGTGCTAGAGATGTTTCTTTGCACTGCAAGAGCCATGAGCTAAGATGATGACTGGATGGGAGGGAAATGATAGCCCTTTTGGAGAAGGGTTGTTAAGAGAGGAGAGTATTGTTTTTTTTAAGGTGCTTGCTTGTTTAATGTAAATAATATAAAGCCTTAATATCTTTTCTGTAACATGGAATAATATTTTACGGTGATGTTTTGAATGTATATAATATATTTATAACAAAGCAGCCGAGAATACTAACTTTGTTTGCCACTTGGTGTTTCTAGATTCAGGGGAGGAGGTTGGCTTTAAAAGGTATTCTCTGCCCCTCCAGGGTTAAGGCCTCAACCTGCCCTCTAGGGCATTGAAAAGGTTAATGGGTTCTGTTGTCTACACTCTAGGGTCTTAACAACTCTAGGGTATACTTGTTTCAAAAGGATGATCTGTTAAGGTGATCCTACTTCCTCTTAGATAATGGAGCTTATTATAATGGATAAAAATAGATAAATTTCCTTCTTTGGACACACATTTATTGATGAGTTAAAACAAAGCATTGGTCAGGAAGCCAGTACTCTCCAACTCCACCTGCTCCAGCAGTCAGTATAAACTAATGTTCATAAGTCATTCAACATGGGATTTGAAATGACTAACAAAACTCAGCATGAGACTACAGCTTAACATGGCTGGGTAAAATCCTAGTTTAATCTTGGCCTGAATTATTGTGGAGAGCAGATTTTGACTCAACATATGAGACAATTTCTTCATAATTAGAGCTATGTCCAGCAAAGGAACACATTCCTCTAGAAATGGAGTTCTCTATCACTTCAAGTGTGCAGTCCAATCAGAGATTGTAAACTGAAGGTTCATTGTCATAGGAGAGGTAAGACTAAAATGACTTCTCACATCCCTCCCCTCTGAAATGCTGTAACTGATTAGAATGTAAAAGCAATAGAGGTGATAGGCCCATTGTCTTCTGCCCTTTCCAGACCACCTCTGCAGGATTGTGTTGGAATCTAGGTACCACATTTACAGTTAGGAATGTTGACATATCTGGAGCATATTTAGAGTATGACAACTGGGATCGAAAAGAGATTAAAAATACTATGCCATGTCAGGCAAGAAACAAGGGATGGAAAAGAGAAGATTTAGGGAAGACTGTGATCAGAGTCTTTAAATATCAGGGCTGTCATGACAAACAAGAAATAGACTTAAGTATGTGGAGAATTAAACTATGAGTGGAAGTTAAAAAGATAAAGTTTGACTAAGCTTATGCAAGAACTCGACTTCTTTCCAAATCTAAATTTATAATCCTAAAAAACTTCCTATAAATTAAGAATTGTCCAGCAAATGGAACGGGCTGCCTCAGCGGGTAGAGAGTTTCTAACACTGGAGGTATTCAAGGTGAATCTGGATAACCATTATCAGATATTTTTATTTTTTTGTTTTGTTTTTAGGCAATTGGGGTTAAGTGACTTGCCCAGGGTCACACAGCTAGTAAGTGTCAAGTGTTTGGTCTCAGGCCGCATTTGAACTCAGGTCCTCCTGAATTCAGGGCTGGTGCTCTATCCACTGTGCCACCTAGCTGCCCCCAGATATTTTTAGCTGGATTCATGCATCCTACCATAGAGTTTGCTGTGGCTGATGGCTTCCAAGGTCCCTTACAGTTATGCTAGTGATGTCATAGGTTTGAACAAGAAAGTGAGAGCCTAGCTAGGGGGTAAGGCCAGTATGTTATGAAAGATAGCCCCTGACCTCTTAAAGGCACTATATACAAACAGTCACTATTGGTAGTTGGGATAGAGGGGCTCATATTTAAGGCAGAATAAAACAGGGCCAATGAAGGCTGAGAGCAAGTTAGAAGGCCTGGGAGATAATAGAAGTCATCAAGTGCAATCAATCCTCAACAAGGAATTCCCTCTATAGCATCCTGTGATGAAAGCAGTCCTAATCTCTCTGTGGAGCAATCGTCTGGTGTCCAGGGTGGGCTGAAGGGAAGGAAGGGTAGCCAGGTAGCTGATAGGAAATGATTTCCTAGTCCCATATTGTTGCTTGTCCTTCATTCTCAAAGAGGGCATCAGGATGGTGATGCCATGACTTGTAAGTATATTGGATTCCTAATCTCTTAACTTATAAATGCCCAACCCTTCACAACAGTATGGACTGTGCAGATCCTCTGGTCCATCCCTATAGAGAAAAATAAATTTAGATTGGATCAACCAGGAGGAGGGGAGAGGAAGAATTTTTTAAGGTTTTTTGAGCTGAATTTCTGCACCTACAGGACAGAGGAAACTCTTATGGTATATGGTGTTAAATAAACAAAGTTCCTGCTGTAGTACAGGGAGACAAAACACAAAATCAGTATGAGGACTGAGACCATGAAATCACTTTTTTGTATAGTAGTTTTTTTGTTTGTTTTTATTTACTTTGAGTTTTCAACATTCACTTCCACAAGATTTTGAGTTCCAAATTTTCTCCCCATCTCATCCCTCCCCCTACGCCAAGACGGTATGCATTCTGTATACCTGTTCCCCTAATCTGCCCTCCCTTCTCTCTCTACCCCCTTTCTCTTTATCCCCTTTCCCTTCTATTTTCCTGTAAGGCAGGATAGATTTCTATACTCCATTGCTTGTATATCTTATTTCCCAGTTGCATGTGAAAATAATTTTTAATGTGTTTTTAAAACTTTGGGTTCCAAATTTTCTCCCTTCCTCCCTCCCCACCCCACCTCATTGAAAAGGCAAGCAACTCAATACAGGTTATACATGTGTAGTCATGCAAAACATTTCCATAGTAGTCATGTTGTGAAAAACTGAGTACATTTCCCTTCATCCTATCCCGCCCCCCATTTATTTTATTCTCTCTTTTGACCCTGTCCCTCCTCAGAAGTGTTTGCTTTTGACTACCCCCTCCCCCAATCTGCCCTCCCCTCTATCATCCCCCTGCTCTCTTGTCCCCTTCCCCCCCTATTTTCCTGTAGGGTAAGATAGATTCCCATACCCAATTTCATGTGTATGTTTATTCCCTCCTTAAGCCAAATCTGATGAGAATAAGATTCACTCATTCCCTGTCACCTTCCCCGGTGTCCCCTCCACTGTAAAAGTCTTGTCTGTTTTATGTGAGATAATTTACCCCATTCTACTTCTCCCTTTCTCCTCCCAGTATAATCCTCTCTCACTCCTTAATTTTATTCTCCAGATATCACCCCTTCATCTTCAATTCACCCTGTGCCATCTATCTATCTATCTATCTATCTATCTATCTATCCATCTGTCTATCTATGTATGGTGTTTTAAGATTCACAAAGAACTTACTTCAATGCAGTCCGGTGAGATCATAGCTGGAATCGACTCCCTGGGCCATCTAGTCTACCTTCTTTTACAAGTCTGGACACTGAGGTTAAGTGACTTGTCCAGGGTCACATAAGCAGTAAGGGCAAAAATTGGATGAGGACTCAGGTCCTCAGACTCCAGATTTCCCTTTGTGATAGAGTAAAGCCATCACTATCTTACAGGTGACAAAATGGAGCCAGAAGAGTGGACTGACTTACCTGCAGTCACATAGCTAGTAAATAGCAGAGCTAGGACTTTCATCCAGCTCTTCTGGCTAATAATAAAAATGGAATACTCTTACTTATGGACTACCTCACTAACTACCAAAGGGCTATCAGGAAAAAAGTGGGTCAGGCTGGCAGATTAGGAGCTCGGCTTATGAGATGGCTGGACAGGAGGGACCCAGAAACATTTTAAAAGGGGTTACACAGCTAGTTCAGCATCCTGAGGTAGGATTCAGAAACACCTGGGGTTGGAGTCACTGTCCACTTTAGCATTTCTTGGTAGAACTGCAGGTGTTCACACCTTCTCTAATCCTTTCTTGGAAACCTGAATAACAAAAGCCCTATTCCCTCTTGGCACCAGCACTTAGAGTAACTAAGGGTGATGAGAGGTCTCAGTTGGCCCTTTCTATCCTAAACTTTGGGGAGAGGGCATCCTATGTCTGGCTCAACCATGGGCCAGAATAGAACAATCTTTCTCCAAAAAAATACCCACCTTCATCCTTCACAATTATAGAATCTTAGAGTCATAGGGGGTCTTAGACTTCCCCCCTCAGATGAGGAAACTGAGGCCCAGAAAGGACAGTGCCTGAGAGGTTTCAAACCACATTTTGTTTTGTTTACCCCAAATCCAATCTTGACCTTATAATGTGCTGCTAACATAAGTGCCCAGGTCACAGAAGCTGCTTGATGCAGTGCAGTGGATTCTGGGTTCAAAACCTACCTCTGTTACTTAATCCCTTCACTTTGGGCAGCACCTCCCATGGTGGGGGGGAGAAACCATTTTCCTCATCTATAAATAGTCAGCATTTCTATAGCTCTTTAAAAGCACTTTCCTCACAGTAAACCTTGTGAGGGAGGGAGGTAACTACATGCTGTTTTTAAATAATAGATTCTTATTGTTGTCTTTTGTTTATAACAAAGATTTTTTTAAGAGAAAGAAGAGGAAAAATCTTCAGCAAAACCATCCACATAAAAAAAAATGATGTCATGTATAATATTTCATACCATAATGGACTTCTCACCTTTGCAAGGAGGGTGGGAGTGTGACCCTGGACCCTTATTTTGGGACCAGAATTGTTCTTTATACTTTTGCAAACAGTGTTTTGAATTGTGGCAAATACATGGACAAAAAGGGTGGGGATTTGGCCCATATTAAAAGGGTATTATTGAGGGTTTAGTAAAACAGTGACCACTGTGGAGACAGAAGTTCCCATTGCCTGACTCTTCTAATTAATTGTGTGACCTTGAGCCAGTTACCACCTCTCAGAGCTTCAGTTACCTCTTCCATAAAATGTGAATAATAAAATGTGTGCTACCTCTTTGACGAGATTCCATTTAAAAAAAAAAGTATTAAGAATCTGCTGTGTGACAGTCCCTATGTCTGGAGGCACAAAGTAATAAGGACATTCCCTACCTTCAAGAAGCTTAGCGTATCAGTCTTCTAGGTGGATACAAAAAGAAAATTCAGACAAAAAGTGTAGGGATTTGGGTGATACATTAAATGTGTGGTTGTGTGGTTGTGTTGCCATCTAGTGGGTAAGAAACGTGTCATGGCATTACTATTGGAATGGCACTGGAGAGCGCTGGGATAGCCACTATATACTTCATATCTTCCTCAATCAGGAACAACTTTCCTAATGTTTAATTACTAGCTCTTATCACAACAGGAATATAGGTTCTGAAAGAGTTCAGGA